GAAGAGGAAGTGAGATAATGAACTTGAAGACCTTACGTTGTGCCGAGCATAGAGCAGGTAGTCATGGGACGTTTCTATCATTATTACCAGCAGAGGCACAAGCGAGGTTCGTGTTAATGCAACTTGAACTGTCCTCCCCACGCGCCCTCTAAGTCTTCGTGTGAACAAATGGGAGGAGAGGGCTTTCGTTATAAGTGCCTGTGAACTGGTCTTTATAGAAGAACCTCAAATCGAGGGCTTCTTTTGTCAGGCTACGACTAGTGGCTCGGAGAGTGCTCATTACACACGCGGACCGAATTCTGACTAAAACAGGAAAGAAGCACAGTCGGGGGCTCACGGCATTAACCCAGGCGACAGATGTGGCTGGAGACCCGCAAAGGAATGGCTTTAGGCCGCAATCCAGCACAGCTTTCTTATTATAAACACCGATGTCCACTGCCGGCCTGTTAGATTGTGAGATCCTTGAGGGCAAGAACCGTTTTCGCCTTTGGAGCTCCGTGGCCAACGGGGTATGTGGCATAAAGCAAGCCCCGTCCCTGACAGGCGGGAAGAGGGTGGGAGGAGGGGGAGGGAGGAGGAGAGGAGAGTGGGGGAGCGGACAGGGAGAAAGGGCAGGAGGAAGGATAGACAAGCAAATTCTGGGTCTAGAAGAATGGGCCGAATCTCTATTTACTTCATTCACATAACATGAAAATGTCTTAAATATAATTCCAGTCAGTGGCATAAATTAAAATTTTGAGGGAACCACGGAAGTTTTTAAAAGCCAGGGAGGGACGGCCTGAATTCTAATGCTAATCTTCACACCTACCAACTCCCAGTCTTGGGGGAGTCGATTGACGTCACCCTGCCTTAGCCTTCTCCTCTGCGGAATGGGGTGGCATTGCCTGCCCTGCTCTCTCCAGTGAAACGAGGTGCATGGAGGACCTGACCCCTGGTCGAGGGCTCCTTACACGGCGGACTACTAGGTCCGAGGGGGTGGCCGCACAGGACACTGGGACCCTGGGGGCAGAATTTAATCAATCGTGTTTCCTCCCCGAAGATCCTCCTGGTCTTCTTTGGTAGTCGGTTCGTTTCTCACCATCTTTCCCCAGCTTTTGGACCATGGAGCCCTTTTGTCACGAACCACCTAATGAACGCGTTCCACAAAACACAGTTTGGAAAATTCCGGCGTCAGCGGGCGATGCCCGTGGTCAGCCTCTGCACGTGCCAGGCGGCTGGACTTTCCCGGAGACTCTGGCTTTAAGGACGCGCCTCTGCCGGTCCTGCCGGCCCGTCCCTCCCTCCGAGCCTCAGGTGACCACGTCGTCATCTGATTTACTTCCCTGCTTTAGCACGGAAAGCCCCGCCCCCCGGCCGAGCGGCGGCCTCACCCGCTGCTCAACTCACCCGCAGAACATGAGGATGTTGTACAGGGCGGGGTCGTCCGGGAAGGGCGCCATCTGCTGCAGGCACAGCTGCTCGCAGCCGCCGTTGAAGCCGTCGGAGCAGTCCACCCCCACGTGGCGGTCATAGCAGCCCGAGCTGTCCTTCATGGGGCTGAGGCCGGACGGGCACTGGCACAATCAGAAAGCACCCACAGCGGGGTGGATCAGGGGGCGGGGTTCTCTGGACACCGGAGTGTAGCCACTGACACCTATTTTTTTTTTTTTTTTTTAGTCCTCAGCCTTGAAACCATTAACAATAATGCAAATAATGCACAAACTCCCCACCACGCGGGGCACTTCCTTTAAAAAGCAAGTGACCTTTTGACGTCTTGCTGCTTCTCTCCGGGCACAGATCACGCTCATTTGCATTCAAGCTGATTTCTCCCAACGGGCTGGAAGGGAGAACTCAGCAAGGCCGAGCGAGGGGTGCTGGCCTCCCAGCCCAGCCTCAGGCTGGCAGAAGGGGCCGGAATTAAAGTGCATTAGCAGAGATTGCTCCGGGCTAGGGGGAAGGGGCTGCTGCTGTGTGAACTTCGTATTAATAGGACTTAGTTTTTAATGTCCAAAGCACTTTGTCAAAATTGGTACCAGACGCCCGTGTTGGAGGGAAGGGACGGGC